CTCAGTGTCAAGACCTGACTGAATTACTCACAATAGACAAACTGTACTCCAAGCTTTGCCAATAAATTTGTTCGCCGTAAATAACTGGATCCCAATTTTAATGGGCTCCAAATGTAATGCTCAGTCCTAAGCCTTGGTGAAGTCAATAATGGTGACAACCACAGGTGTCTTACGTTTTTCTTGTTGCCGAATTGCTGAGAATTGATGAGGTGCGCTGTAGCAGATGTTGCCGTTGATATAAGAGGCTTTGTTTCGCTGCTGCATAAGTCTTTTGATCCGAGGTGTGATCCAATTCAGGTCGGCTGGGTATGATCTGATGGAATTATTAGGGAAGTGGTGGTGAGCTTCCGTGTTAGTGTAGTTATAATTTGTCCATTTGATGTCTATGCCATCTATACCTACTACTACAGTCCAGGGATACTGAACTATCCACTGCCCGAAAAGACGCGTTGTAAAGCCAGTAACCGACCTGTAAGTATTGATGTAAGGGCTCTTCACGTGGTTGGCCATGGGAGCAGGAGACCAAAACACTGATAGGTGTGATGTGTACTACACCCGATAGGAGGCATTAGTTGCGGTGGTAGTGTAGTGGATTTCTCCCCTACAAACGCTGTTTGTCGCTGAGTAGCCGACCCCGCGAATTCCACAGTGTATGCCTCGTGGTCTGGGTCAACCAGCGCCGCCCACGGAGCGGGGGTCAACTGCTAAGCCACGCCTACCCCCGCTATTTAAGACCTGACCTCGTGGTGACCTGCCTCCTTTCTACCTACACCAACCAGCCAGCAACATCTCCTCCTCCGCCGCTGCCTGGCGGCCCTCGCTCCCGCCGGCGAGCATGGCGACCCACAAGCTGTCCTCCTCTGACCATCCTCACCAACCAGCTCTCTCTACATCACGCTTGTAACCACGCTGCCTTCCCAGCACCAAGCTGCATTGTACATCCAATATAACATGTATACAGAGAGCACATTGTGAGTTTCCTTTCTCCATCCCATCCTGAGTGTGAACCCAAACATAACGTACCCCACAGTAGGTACTGGTCTGCTACTTCTGTTAGGTAAAATCAAGAATGTTTTGCTAGTCTGTAGGAAAGTTCACATCTTGTGATAGTAGCAGCTGTTCCTTGAGATCAGTGATGTTTGTTTCGTTAAAATTACCATATAGCTCTAGCTTGTCTTAGGTGAGTGAGTTTGGGGGGGGTACCTGCCAGTGTATGATGGAGGCAGTGTGGCGGGGATGACAACGTAGTATACACGTCCGTTGGTTCGAAGGTGGTGAAGGAGTTGACATCCCTTAATGTTGCAGGTTAGTTATTACACTATTACGTCAACAATTAAAAATAATGAGATAAAAAAAACTCCCCGTGTACAAAATAGAGGCAGAATGACACCGAGGCTTCCGGGTAAAAACCTGTCGATGGAAGCCAGCAGGTCTGAGGCACTGGGACACAAGTTTCAACTTGTGTCCCAGTGACCTCTGAGCTGTCAAAAAAAAAAATATATATATATTTATATATATATATATATAATCAACGACCTCACCAGCAAGGAATCGAACCCTCGACCTACTGGGTGGGACTAGGGTCTAGGGGTCGAGGGTTCGATTCCTTGCTGGTGAGGTCGTTGATTATATGTTCAAAGTCCGCGTGTTATATGGACTAAAAATGAAGTATATATATATATATATATATATATATATATATATATATATATATATATATATATATATATATATATATATATATATATATATATATATATATATATATATATATATACGTTATTTTGCGAAATAACATACAAACAGGCTAACGAATGTAAAAAAAAGAACAGGACCTCTTAACTGTGTATCAATCTACACGAACCATCCTAACATAACCTAACCATAATGTTAGGTTAGTCTAGGTTGTCTGTTTGTAAGTTATTTCACAAAATTACCTGCATGCATTCCTGGAATTTTGCAAACTAACCGATTTCGCAAAAAAAAATATATATATATATCTATCTATCTATCTATCTATCTATCTATCTATCTATCTATCTATCTATCTATCTATCTATCTATCTATCTATCTATCTATCTATCTATCTATCTATCTATCTATCTATCTATCTATCGTCCGGCTTTGCTTGGGATAGGCATAAATACTGTCAGTGTTGCCTTCCTGACATGTGTAAGCACCTCAACCTAACCTAACCTAACCTGACCCTCTGTTACAATGGGTAAATGAGATAAGGTTAAGTCCACCAATTAACCCCCCCCCCCCACTATAGTGAGTCGTGGTAACGTGACTAAGCGCCGCCCTCAGCTGTCAACTCCACACTACCACCCTCAGACTACTACTATCACCATCACTACCTTCACACCATCACACTCACTGTCCCCTAACACGAAACACGAAGACTCTCACCGCACTCAGGGTATACTGTATATTGGAGGAGGGTGTGTTGGGGAGGAGGGTGTGTTGGGGAGGGGGGTGTGTTGAAGGAGGTGTGTTAGGAGGAGGTGTGTTGGGAGGAGGGTGTGTTAGAGGTGTGTTGAGAAGAGGGTGTGTTGAGGAGGAGGGTGTGTTGGGGAGGAGGGTGTGTTGTGGAGGAGAGAGGGGGTGTGTTTAGGGAGGAGGGTGTGGTGGGAGGTAAGATCAATAGGTAAAATATGAGGTGGAGGAGGCCAGGTGTTGTGCTCTGTGCACAGAGGTATCAGCTGGTAGTGAGGTCGTCCCCCCCCACTCACTCTCTGGGGTATGTAATGTGTGTGTGTGTGTGTGTGTGTGTGTGTGTCAGAATAAGAGTCTGTTGTGGGTGAGGGTGAATGGAATGTGCTAGCAGAGGGGGGGCAATGTTTGTGGGATCGTTAAGTGGAACTGTGTATCCCTAGTGTGGAATGATGTGGTGTGAGTGTTGTGTTGCAGTAGTGTGAGTGTTGTGTTGCAGTAGTGTGAGTGTTGTGTTCAATAGTGTGGTGTTGTGTTGCCAGTGTGTGATGTTGTGTTGCAGGGAGTGTGAGTGTTGTGTGTGGGAGTGTGAGTGTTGTGGTGATGTACTGTAGTGTTGTGTTGCAGTAGTGTGAGTGTTGTGTTTCAGTAGTGTGAGTGTTGTGTTGCAGGAGTGTGAGTGTTGTGTTGCAGGAGTGTGAGTGTTGTGTTGCAGTAGTGTGAGTGTTGTGTTGCAGGAGTGTGAGTGTTGTGTTGATGTACTGTGAGTGTTGTGTTGCAGTAGTGTGAGTGTTGTGTTGCAGGAGTGTGAGTGTTGTGTTGATGTAGTGTGAGTGTTGTGTTTCAGTAGTGTGAGTGTTGTGTTGCAGGAGTGTGAGTGTTGTGGTGATGTACTGTGAGTGTTGTGTTGCAGTAGTGTGAGTGTTGTGTTTCAGTAGTGTGAGTGTTGTGGTGTACTGTGAGTGTTGTGTTGCAGTAGTGTGAGTGTTGTGGTGATGTGTACTGTAGTGTTGTGTTGCAGTAGTGTGAGTGTTGTGTTGCAGGAGTGTGAGTGTTGTGTTGCAGGAGTGTGAGTGTTGTGTTTCAGTAGTGTGAGTGTTGTGTTGCAGTAGTGTGAGTGTTGTGTTGATGTACTGTGAGTGTTGTGTTGCAGGAGTGTGAGTGTTGTGTTTCAGGAGTGTGAGTGTTGTGGTGATGTACTGTGAGTGTAATCACCTTTAGGGCGGTTAAGGGATAATAAGACCCGTCATTCTTAGTATTTAAAATAATAAATCATACGTAGGTAAATGTTTAATTGTCATATTTTCATGTTTTTACAACGATAAACAATAGAATGGAAACGGTCTACCTGAGTAAACTTAAGTACAGGTGTTGAAGGCCTCACACTGAATAGGTGGTAAGAGTGTTGGCGCTGCTGGTATCAAGCACTGCCTGAGCTGACACATTTCTCTGCTCAGGTGTTTTATATACAGACAAGTCCTCTCTACTACCACACAACGCCATCCCACTCCTTGTCTCTGTATCTTCATTAACTCGATACTCTATATACGGGCAGGTACGCCTAATAAACATGACATGACTTACAGCCTAACATAATATTTATTTAACGGTTATCCTACTCATTACTGCTTACGGTAACAGTGAGTGTTGTGTTGCAGTAGTGTGAGTGTTGTCCATAGTTACCTGCGTCCTCCTTAACAGATTCCTTCCTGAGAGAAAAGTTTCCTCATAATGCGTCATCACTGATATCTGCTGCCCGCCTGTATTGAGCACACTGGCTGAGGAGTCCGTCGGTATTGCTTACACTCGTTCACTAGGTTCCCCCCTTTCGTTCCCTGCCATAAGTCACAACATTGCTAACTCTGGCACCGAAGGCAGTACAACCTTATCTTCTATCAAGGTCAGCATAAAAGATGCCCTTGATATCATCCTCCGCATACAGTGTAGTGGCGTATGTAATGATGATAGAGACGCGATGTGAGTGATTCAGTGGAGCTCGGGGAGTGTAGGACAAAGGCCCCCTTAGGACCCCAGCACTAATAATAATGAGACTTTTTATATAATTTTATTCCATATTAACAGTTTACATTTTATGAACCTAACCTAACCTAACCTATTCTATTTTGCACTTTAACCGTCATCAGTCGCTCGTTGACAACAGTAGACATTTCGGTAACAAGATGGTCCGGACCCCATGATTAGTGATAGCACCCTAATGCTATATAAAAATGAATCACACACACACACACACACACACACACACACACACACACACACATATATATATATATATATATATATATATATATATATATATATATATATATATATATATATATATATATATATATACAAGTAAATCACTGTAGGTGCGGTGATCTAGGTATATATATATATATATATATATATATATATATATATATATATATATATATATATATATATATATATATATATATATATATATATATATATATATATATATATATATATATATATATGTGTGTGTGTGTGTATAACTTGCCGTGGTATGTTCACCGTTGGAATGCAAGGGTATTAGGGTAAGGCTCGCTCCTTCAGTTAGTGGACAGCGCTGGGAGGGAGCGGTACTACTGTACATTCTTCTTGTCTTGTTGATCAATAATTGTGTTGCCGTGCTGGCATCGGCTACATGTTCAAGAATCTGGAATTTAGATTTTAAATACTCGGTGTTACAGGTGTGTGACAACACTGTGTTGCAGGTATGTGACAACCTTCTGTGTTGCAGGTATGTGTAGCCCATGGGTGTAAGCGTTGTCTTCCTCGCAGGTGTTACATACTGTCATGTGTGGTCATCCTCCCTGGGCCTTGTAAGTGTGTGGTCATCCTCCCCAAGGTCTTGTAAGTGTGTGCTCACTCTTGGGTCTTGTGTGGAGGCGTGTCACCTGGCCCCAGTGTGTGGCTCCCTGGGTCTGTAAGTGTGTGGCTCATCCTCCCTGGGTCTTATAAGGTAGGTCACCTCCCCCAATATCTTGTAAGACCTCCCAATCTTGTAAGTGTGTGGTCACCCTCCTTGGGTCTTTGTAAGTGTGTGGCCCATCCTCCTGGGCTTGTAAGTGTGGTCATCCTCCTGGGTCTTGTAAGTGTGTGGCTCATCCCTCCCTGGGTCTGTAAACGTGTGGTCATCCTCCCCAGTCTTATATGTGGTCACCTCCTGGTTCAGGTAAGGTGTGGTCACCCCTGGCTCCTTGCAGGGTGTGTGGTCACCTCCTGGGTCTTGTGTGTGTGGTCATCCTCCTGGGTCTTGTAAGTGTGGTCATCCTCCCTGGGTCTTAGGTGGTCACCCTCCCTGGGTCTTGTAAGTGTGTGGTCATCCTCCTGGTCTTATAAGTGTGTGGTCACCCTCCTGGGTCTTTGTAAGTGTGGTGGTCACCCTCCCTGGGTCTTGTAAGTGTGTGGTCACCCTCCTTGGTCTTGTAAGTGTGTGGTCATCCTCCCCTGGGTCTTGTAAGTGTGTGGTCATCCTCCTGGTCTTGTGGTGGTCATCCTCCTGGGTCGCAAACGTGTGGTCATCCTCCTGGGTCTTATAAGTGTGTGGTCACCTCCCTGGGTCTTGTAGAGTGTGTGGTCACCCTCCTGGGTCTTGTAAGTGTGTGGTCACCCTCCTTGGGTCTTGTAAGTGTGGTGGTCATCCTCCTGGGTTCAGGTGTGTGGTCATCCTCCCTGGGTCTTGTGTGTGTGGTCATCCTCCCCAGGGGTCTTGTAAACGTGTGGTCATCCTCCTGGGTCTTGTGTGGTCACCCTCCCTGGGTCTTAGGGTGTGTGGTCATCCTCCCTGGGTCTTGTAAGTGTGTGTCATCCTCCCCAGTCTTGTAAACGTGTGGTCATCCCTCCCTGGGTCTTGTAAACGTGTGGTCATCCTCCTGGGTCTTGTAAGTGTGTGGTCACCTCCCCAAGGTCTTGTAAGTGTGTGGTCATCTTCCTGGCTCCAGGCGTGTGGTCATCCTCCCTGGGTCTTGTAAGTGTGTGGTCATCTTCTCCTGTCTTGTGGGTGTGTGGTCATCCTCCCTGTCATGTAAGTGTGTGGTCATCCTCCCTGTCTTGTAAGTGTGTGGTCATCCTCCTGGGTCTTGTGGCGTGTGGTCATCCTCCCTGGGTCTTGTAATGTGTGGTCATCCTCCTGGCTCCTGTAAGTGTGTGATCATCCTCCCTGGGTCTTGTAAGTGTGGTCATCCCCTGGTCTTGTAAGTGTGTGGTCATCCTCCTGGTTCTAAGTGTGTGGTCATCTCCTGGGTCTTGTAAGTGTGTGGTCATCCTCCTGGGTTCAGGGCAGGTGGTCATCCTCCTGGGTCTTGTAAGTGGTCATCCCTGGCTCCTGTATGTGTATCATCCTCTGTCTTGTAAGTGTGTGGTCATCCTCACAGTCTTGTAAGTGTGGTCATCCTCCCTAGGTCTTAGGCAGTGTGGTCATCCTCGCTAGGTCTTGTAAGTGTGTGGTCATCTCCCGGGTCTTGTAAGTGTGTGGTCATCCTCCTGAGTCTTATAAGGTGTACCTCCCTGGGTCTTGTAAGGTGTGGTCACCTCCTGGGTCTTGTAAGTGTGTGGTCACCCTCCTTGGGTCTTGTAAGTGTGTGGTATCCTCCCTGGTCTTGTAAGTGTGTGGTCATCCCTGGTCTTGTAAAACGTGGTCATCCTCCCTGTCTTGGTAAACGTGTGGTCATCCTCCCTGGGTCTTGTAAGTGTGTGGTCACCCTCCCTGGTCTTAAGTGTGGTCATCCTCTGGGCCCAGGTGTGGTCATCCTCCCTGGTCTTGTAAACGTGTGGTCATCCTCCCCTGGGTCTTGTAAACGTGTGGTCATCCTCCTCAATCTTGTAAGTGTGTGGTCACCTCCTGTCTTGTAAGTGTGTGGTCATCTTCCTGGGTCTTGTGGGTGTGTGGTCATCCTCCCTGGGTCTTGTAAGTGTGTGCTCATTCTCCTGGGCTTATGTGGTCATCCTCCCTGGGTCGGCAAGTGTGTGGTCATCCTCCCTGGGTCTTTGTAAGTGTGTGGTCATCCTCCCAAGTCTTGTAAGTGTGTGGTCATCCTCCTGGTCTGCAAATGTGTGGTCATCCTCCCGGGTCTTGTAAGTGTGTGTGATCATCCTCCTGGTCTTAGGTGTGTGGTCATCCCCCTGCCTTGTAAGTGTGGTCATCCTCCCTGGCCTTTAAGTGTGTGGCCTCCTGGCCCTAGGCAGTGGTCATCCTCCTGTCTGTAAGTGTGTGGTCATCCTCCTGGGTCTTGTAAGTGTGTGGTCATCCTCCCAGTCTTGTAAGTGTGTGGTCATCCTCTGGGTCTTGTAAGGTGTGTGGTCATCCTCGCCAGGTCTTGTAAGTGGTGGTCACCTCCCAGGTAATTGTAAGTGTGGTCATCCGCTAGGTCTTGTAAGTGTGTGGTCATCCTCCCGGGTCTTGTAAGTGTGTATCACCCTGAGTCTTGTAAGTGTGTGTGGGTCATCCTCCCAGGTCTTGTAAGTGTGTGGTCATCCTCCTGGGTCTTGTAAGGGTGGTCATCCTCCTGGGTCTTGGTAAATGTGTGGTCATCCTCCTGAGTCTTGTAAGTGGTGTGTGTCCTCCTGGTCTTGTGCGTGTGGTCATCCTCCCTGGGTCTGTAAGTGTGTGGTCATCCTCCTGGGTCTTGTAAGTGTGGTCATCCTCCCTGTCTTGTAAGTGTGTATCATCTCCCAATCTTGTAAGTGTGGTCATCCTCTGGTCTTGTAAGTGTGTGATCATCCTCCCGTCTTGTAAGTGTATCATCCTCCTGGCCCGCAAGTGTGTGGCCGTCCTCCCTGGGTCTTGTAAGTGTGTGGTCATCTCCCAGGTCTTTGTAAATGTGTGGTCATCCCTCCTGAGGTCTTGTAAGTGTGTGGTCACCCTCCCTGGGTCTTGTAAGGTGTGGTCCCCTGGCCCTTGTGGGTGTGTGGTCATCCTGGGTCTTGTAAGGTAGGTCATCCTCCCTGGGTCTTGTAAGTGTGTGTGGTCATCCTCCTGGGTCTTGGGGTGTGTGGTCATCCTCCCGGGGTCTTGTAAGTGTGTGGTCATCCTCCCTGGGTCTTGTATGTGTGGTCATCCTCCCTGTCTTGTAAGGTGGTCATCCCCTGGTCTTTGTAAGTGTGTGGTCATCCTCGCTAGGTCTTTGTGGGCAGGTGGTCATCCTCGCTAGGTCTTAGGCGTGTGGTCACCCCTCCTGGGTCTTGTAAGTGTGTGTCCTCCTGGGTCTTGTGTGGGGTGTGTGGTCATCCTGCCAGGTCTTGCAAGTGTGTGGTCATCCTCCCCAGGTCTTGTAAGTGTGTGGTCATCCTCAGGTCTTGTAAGTGTGTGGTCATCCCTGTCTTGTAAGTGTGTGGTCATCCTCCTGGGTCTTGTAAGTGTGTGGTCATCCTACCTGGCCCAGGTGTGTGGTCACCTCCTGGGCCCTCGGTAAGTGTGTGGTCACCCTTCCAAGCCTGTAAGCGTGTGGTCATCCTCCCTGGTCTTGTAAGTGTGTGGTCATCCTCCTGTCTTGTAAGTGTGTTTTCATCCTCCCCAAGGCTGGGTGGGTGTGTGGTCATCTCCCTGGGTCTTGTAGGTGTGTGGCTCACCCTCCTGGGTCTTGTAAGGTGTGGTCATCCTCCCTGTCTTGTATGTGTGGTCACCCTCCTGGGTCTTTGTAAGCGTGTGGGTCACCCTCCTAGGTCTTGTGGGTGTGTGGTCATCCTCCCTGGGTCTTGTAAGTGTGTGGTCATCCTCCCTGGCCCTTGAAAGTGTGTGGCTCATCCTCCTGGGTCAGTGTAAGTGTGTGGTCATCCTCCCTGGGTCTTGTGGCAGGTGGTCATCCTCCCTGGGTCTTTGGGTGTGGTCACCTCCTGAAAGCCCTAAGTGTGTGTGGTCATCTTCCTGAGTCTTGTAAGTGTGGTGGTCATCCTCCTGGTCTTGTAAGTGTGTGGTCATCCCTGGGTTTTGTAAGTGTGTGGTCATCCTCCTGGGTTTTGTAAGTGTGTGGCTCATCCTCCTGGTCTTTGTAAGCGTGTGGTCACCTCCTGGGTCTTGTAAGTGTGTACCCCTGGTCTTGTAAGTGTGGTCATCCTCTGGTCTTGTAAGAGGGTGGTTCCCTCCCTGGTCATGGGAGTGTGTGGTCACCTCCCTGTCTTGTAAGGGTGGTCATCCTCCTGGGTCTTGTAGGCGTGTATCATCCTCCTGGGTCTTGTGGGTGTGGTCATCCTCTCTGCCTGGTAAGGTGGTCATCCCTGGGTCTTGCAAGTGTGTAATATCCTCTGGGTCTTTGTAAGTGTGTGGTCATCCTCCCTGGGTCTTGTAAGTGTGTGCTCATCCTCCTGAGTCTTGCAAGTGTGTGGTCATCCTCCCTGGTCTTGTGGTGTGGTCATCCTCCCGGGTCTTGTATGTGTGGTCATCCTCTCTGTCTTGTAAGGTATCATCCTTCCTGGTCTTAAGTGTGGTTATCCTCCCTGGGTCTTGTAAGTGTGTGGTCACCCTCTGGGTTCCTTGTAAGTGTGTGGTCACCCTCTGGGTCTTGTAAGTGTGGCCATCCTCCTGGGTCTTAGGCAGGGTGGTCATCCTCCTGGGTCTTGTAAGAGTGTGGTCATCCTCCCTGGGTTCTTGTAAGAGTGTGGTCACCCTCTCTGTTCAGGGGTGTGTGTGGTCATCTCCTGTCTTGTAAGCGTGTGGTCATCCTCCTGGTCTTGTAAGTGTGTGGTCATCCTCCTGGCCTTGGTAAGTGTGTGGTCATCCTCCTGGTCTTATAAGTGTGTATCACCTCCCTGGCCCTAGGCGTGGTCATCCTCCCAAGCTATAAGTGGTCATCCTCCTGGGTCTTATAAGGTAAAATCCTCCCTGGCCCACAGTAAGTGTGTGGTCATCCTCCTGGGTCTTATAAGTGTGTGGCCCTCCTGTCTTGTAAGTGTGTGGTCACCCTCTGGGTCTTGTAAGTGTGTGGTCATCCTCCCTGAGTCTTGTAAGCGTGTGGTCATCCTCCTGGGTCTTAGAGTAAGGGTCACCCTCCCCTGGGTCTTGCAGGGGTGTGGTCACCCTCTGGGTCTTGTAAGTGTGTGGTCATCCTCCTGAGTCTTGTAAGCGTGTGGTCATCCTCCTGGGTCTTGTAAGTGTGGCCTATCCTCCCTGAGTTCTTGTAAGTGTGGTCACCCTCCCTGGGTTCAGGCGTGTGTGTCATCCTCCTGTCTTGTAAGTGTGTGGTCATCCTCCTGTCTTGTAAGTGTGTGGTCATCCTCCTGGGTCTTGTAAGTGTGTGGTCATCCTCCCTGTCTTGTAAGTGTGTGGTCACCTCCCACTTGTAAGTGTGTGGTCATCCTCCTGGTCTTATAAGTGTGTGGTCACCCTCCTGGGTCTTGTAAGTGTGTGGTCACCTCCCCTGGGTCTTGTAAGTGTGTGGTCATCCTCCCCGAGTCTTGTAAGTGTGTGGTCATCCCTCCTGGGTCTTGTAAGTGTGTGGTCACCCCTCCCTGGGTCTTGTAAGTGTGTGGTCACCCTCCTGGGTCTTGTAAGTGTGTGGTCATCCTCCTGAGTCTGTAAGTGTGTGGTCATCCCTGGGTCTTGTAAGGTGTGTGGTCATCCTCCCTGAGTCTTGTGGGTGTGTGGTCATCCTCCCTGGCCCGTAAGGTGTGGTCATCCTCCTGGGTCTTATAAGTGTGGTCACCTCCTGGGTCTTGTAAGTGTGTGGTCACCCTCCTGGGTCTTTATAAGTGTGTGGTCACCCTCCCTGTCTTTGTAAGTGTGTGGTCACCTCCTGGGTCTGTAAGTGTGTGGTCACCCTCCCTGGGTCTTGGGGCGTGTGGCCACCTCCCCTGGGTCTTGTAAGTGTGTGGTCATCCTCCCTGGGTCTTGTGGTGTGTCATCCTCCTGGGTCTTATAAGTGTGGTCATCCTCCCTGGGTCTTATAAGTGTGTATCACCCTCCTGAGTCCTGGGGTAAGTGTGTGGTCATCCTCCTGGGCCCCAGGTGTGTGGTCATCCTCCCTGGGTCTTGCAAGTGTGTGGTCATCCTCCTGGGTCTTATATGTGTGGTCACCTCCTGGGTTCAGGCGTGTGGTCATCCTCCTGGGTCTTGTAAGGTGGTCATCCTCCTGGGTCTTATAAGTGTGTGGTCACCTCCTGGTCTTGTAAGGTGTGGTCATCCTCCTGGAGTCTTAGCATGTGGTCATCCTCCTGGGTCTTGTGGGTGTGTGGTCACCCTCCCTGAGTCTTGTAAGGTGTGGTCATCCTCCCTGGGTCTTGTAAGTGTGTGGTCATCCTCCTGAGTCTTGTAAGTGTGTGGTCATCCTCCCTGGTCTTGTAAGTGTGTGTGGTCATCCTCCCCTGGGTCTTATAAGTATCATCCCTGGGTCGTCTTGTAGGTGTGTGTCATCCTCCCTGGCTCCGGTATGCGTGTGGTCATCCTCCCTGGGTCTTGTAGGTGTGTGGTCATCCTCCCTGGGTCTTGTAAGTGGTGTGGTCATCCTCCTGGGTCTGTGGGTGTGGTCACCCCTGGGTCTTGTAAGTGTGTGGTCACCCTCCCTGGGTCTTGTAAGTGTGTGGTCACCCTCCTGGGTCTTGTAAGTGTGTGGTCATCCTCCCTGGGTCTTATAGGGTGTGTGGTCACCCCCTGGTCTGTAGGCGTGGTGGTCATCTCCCAAGTCTTGTAAGTGTGTGGTCATCTCCTGGGTCTTGTAAGTGTGTGGTCATCCCCCCTGGTTCTTGTAAGGTGGTCATCCTCCTGTGGGGTCTTGTAAGTGTGGTCACCCTCCCTGGGTCTTGTAAGTGTGTCACCCTCCTGGCCTTGTAAGTGTGGTGGTCATCCTCCCTGGTCTTGTGGGTGTGTGGTCATCCCCCTGGTTCTTGTAAGTGTGGTCATCCCCCCTGGTTCTTGTGTGGGTGTGCTCATCCCCTGTCTTGTAGTGTGTGCTCATCTCCTGGGTCTTGTAAGTGTGTGGGCTAACTCTTTGGGTCTTTAAGGTTTGTGATCTAACTCTTGAGTGTTACAAATGTTTGGTCTAACTCCTTTAATGTTGCAGGCATGTGGTTTCTGCGTGTTGCAGCCGCGTGGTTTCTGTGTGTTGCAACTGCGTGTTTTCTGCGTGTTGCAGCCGTTTCGTTTCTGTCCGTTGCAGGCGAGTGATTTCTGTGTGTTGCAGGCGTGTGGTTTCTGTGTGTTGCAGCCCCTAGGTTTCTGCGTGTTGGCAGAGTAGCTGCGTGTTGCTGGCGCGTGGTTTTTGCAGGAGAGGGGGGGGTGAAGAGGATGAAAGTAAAATAAAAAACCCAGTATTTAGCTGGCATCTGCTGGTTTTAACCTCCCACATTCGTCCAGTGTTGCCCTCCAAGACAGTTTGAGTCATCTTCTGATTTCCCATGTTTTTCCAGTTCTCCTCGACGAGTTGTTGGTATCTATGTGCTATCCCTATGTACACTGTATCTTGCTATGAACGGCGGATCATATGCCCACTCAGTCCATTAGAAACACTTTTAATTGTCGGATTAATAATAATAATAATAATATTGATCCTTATTATTAATGTGATAATTGCTTTTAATCGGTGTCCTGGTTGCAGGGCCTTAGCGTCAAGGTCCCTTTAAAAGCCCCGTTCCACTGCCTGGGTATAGGCTGTTATGGCCAGTGTCATCCACCGGGCTAGCACAATTTATTACATCTGAGCAAGAGATGTACCTCTCAGTGGGATGACTTCCTAAATAATCACATCTACTAATTGAAGTCCAAGTAAAGTGAGATATGGAGGTGATCGTGTCCTTACGGCAATTCAATGTTATTTAAAAAGGAAGAAGAGAAAAATAAACAAATAAAATCTAACTGCCTCCTGTTGGTGTTTCAACCTCCTCGGCATTCTGTGCGTCCAGTGTTGCCTTTAGAGTTGTCTTGTTTTCTTTCTTTTTCTCAGTTCACCCCTGCGATTTGCACGCGTGGTTTAATTTCCTACATGTTGCGGGTGTATGATCTTCCTTCCAATTGATATTTAATATATTTTAATTAGGACGGAGTGAGGTATATGAGGAAACTCCTAATTACGGAAATTGGTGAACATCTTAGATCAAGACCAGAAAACCTATGTCGAGTTGAGTGTTCCTTCGGCCACGGCGTGGCGGCCAGTTACAATAGTGATTCACTATGATAGAACACTTTCTAAAGAAATGAGAAATATATATTTATTCTTTTCATGCCTAGATCAGTTCAGTGTGTCTTCTTCTCTTCAGGGAACGACCTTCACAATGGATAAAGGGAAAATGTCCTGTTTGAGCTGTACATTTGTCGAGGATCCATGTACTGAAGGAGGTGACTCGAGTCTTGCCCAGGAGTCATCAGTGACGCGACACATCACAAAGTCCAGCGCAAGCCAGCTTGTTACCGATGAAGAATGTATTGCAGAAAGTAACAGTATAAATTTCGCTGGGCAATCTCTTACTCAGCAAACACATACTAATAGAACCCAATATATCCTCAGTAAACCATTCACTAAATGTGAACCCAGACACAGCGAGAGACAACAGCAAGATCTGCGCCCAGGAACCTCACACTGTATCATGCCGCCATCAGTCTCCGAGGCTGGCTAATAGTCTCACTGAAAACACCTCTCGATCAGACGTCTAGCCAAAACCCTATTGTCGATGAAAGCTTGTCCTCTCAACCAGTCACATTTCCAGGAATCAAACAAAGACACAGATACTGAATACAGCTTAGACCAGTCACTAACGAGAGCTGACTATGTTGCGAAAGAACAACAGATATTTATCGGATTTACCGCCAGCCGATGAGGAGTGTTCAGCTAGACAGAACAAGACATCCTCGACAGCAAATAAACAGGTGAGGCAGCTTGATTATTCTTCTATTTTGGTACAACACTATATTTTGATTATATTCCATCATTCAGTAATTGTTAACTGAGCTATGATTGTAACTGTCGATAGTTAGTATTAAACGAGGGAGCAGGAAACCAGGAGTTGTACTGAAGTTATACTTGTAATGGGTTTTTAAAGTACACAAAACTGAATTTGTTAAATATTATTCTTTTGGTATGTAGTTTGCCTTTATCTAACTGTACGAGAGGCTGATAAAGGAGAATAAGAGAAAGCATAGGGCAGTAGAAACCAATGTGCAAGAATGACATGTTGACATCTTAATGGTTTAGTAATATATAAGTATCACTTCTTCCTTTTCTGGCAAACATTGTTAAATTTAACACCAAATTCCTTCTCTAACACACTCGGTTAATATATCTAATAGTTACTTCATATCTGCCCACCTCGTTAAGTTGTATCACCAGCTTGCTTTTACCCCTGTAAACCTCGTTATGCATGTTATCACTACCGGGTTCCACTCTTAAAATGCCATTTGTTTATTTACTTTCTGATACACATCATAAAATGTAAGAACAATACTCTTGCTCTTGGTAGCCTTCACATGTATCACTTGGTTGTGTCTGTATACCATAATATGTTCATAATGTGTCTAGAGATCGAAATATTTTCCGAATGGAAATTTCATATCAAGAAACTCTACAACTCAATGTGGAACTTGTCAAATGATAGATTCATTTAAACTTTAATATATAGTAAACAGATTGCTTTATTTTTACCCGGATTATAACCACCCCTTTAAAAGTCTCACTTATTTGCATCACTTATCTCTTCCAGTTTATAATCCTCAGATGTTTTTACACAATGTAGGGTCAAGGACTTGATTAGTTTTATTTTAAGTTTATTCTTATGTTTCATATTTGAAAATCTCAATAATAATATTTCGCTTGGGAGACTGATCTAAGAAACACTGGTGCTTGAAAAGGATATTTATTGGATAAAAATAAATTTGGATTATTTAATTTTTCTGCAGGTTCTTGAAAGAGATAAAACACTGAAAATGATGAGGAGTACATCACAGGCGACCAGATGCAACGTCTCATCACCAGTGTCATCAGTGACCCGTATACCTACAAAAGTAACTCGAAGTTCATCATCAGCAACGGTGGATCTACAAAGCTTGTCAGAGGATGAGTCCAGTAATTCATCTCCGTAACTATGGACATGGAAACTTTAGGTGAAGGAAGAGACAGGAAGCCATTATCAGTTCCTACGGATGTTCAAATATTACAAGAAGGTTGGACCAGCAGCAGACATTCAGTCACTGAGGGATCCAGGAGTTCATCTCCATTACCTGTGAACACTCGGCATTCAGAAGAAGGATCTGGCAGTTTATCACTAGTGACCATGTCTACTCAAACACGGTTCAATGGAATGTCTGAGAGTTCCACCCCAGAGATTATTTCCATTGAAACTCCACCAAGCGGAAGGTCTAGAAGCTCAACTCCGGTTCTTACATATACAACATCCCGAAGTCCTTCCCCAGTGTGTGTCTCGACTCAAACATCGATAAACAGAAGGACCACGAGTAGTATACGAATGAGTGTGTCTACCCAGACATCGAGATGTGTGAGGTCCACTAGCACACTGCCTGTGACTATACCGGCCGCAACACAGAGGGACGTTCTGGAGGTCCGGGTATATGGGCGCTCTTCACAAAAAATTTGTAGAAGATAAATGCAGGAAAGTTAAGAAGAAGCGCCTTAAGCCTGTAATTACCAAAAAAGGAAGAGCAAACACTGCACAAAACTTTAAAGTCTTCTCTTCAAACCCGAAGAGCAATGAAGTCTGACAACCCGTCTGTAATACCCAAGTTAACCATAAAACTACGAACCAGGAAGTACACTCAACACACATTGGCTTCTGTGTCTGGTCAAACACAACCGAAAAGAAGATCCAGAAGACTTAAAGAAGCCCTTGCTCCTGCCCAACTAAATAAGGTAACCAAAAAGTCAGAAAATCAACTTCTTTTGTGTCCACCTGGCCAAACGCAGAAGACCACACCGAAGGATATAACCTCAGATGATGCGTTTGTCGGAACATCAGTCACTGAGATCGGCGAGAAGTCACCCATGGGGTCTGCATTATCCCCCCCCAAAAATAATGAAAAAACGGTGAATCTGTCACAGGATGAAAAATCAACCACATTATCTGGTGACGCTGATGTGAAGAGCAGGAATATAAAAGGAAACCCGAATTTATCTAAAGATTTACACAAGCGGAGACAAGGAAAAGAAACAAATGAATCTCCAGATACAGCAAAAGTAGTTACTGATATTACCCAGAGTGCAGGAACCACGAATTCACTGCCACTCGAGCAAACATTTCCCCCACAGGTTCAAAAAAGAAAATGTGGCGCCACACCCACATCACTTAAAAAGAAGTGTCACGGGCCTAATACTGTGAGTGCTACTCCTGTATCAACAAAAAAAGAATAAGACAAACATTCCTCCAGCTAACTACGCCTCTCCTGAAACAGTATGAATAGTTTTCTCGAGTTCGTTCACTTATTATAATGTAATTGAAGTTTGATTGATATGTTTGTGAATCAACTTAACAAAATTAATATAGAATAACTACCTCTTAACCAGAAATTATTTTTTCATGGAAATAAGAAATTTTCTTCTCAATAAATGATATTTTTCTCCATAATATGAATTAACAACTCAACACATCGCTCGCCATCAGTAAAACAATTAACTTTCATACTAATTAGACAGAGGCGTTCAAGGCAGTGGAGGAGGGGAACCTAGAGCGGGTGGAGGACTTGGTGCAGCTCACTAGTCCAACAGTGAGGAATATCCAGACTGGCTGTACTCTTCTGCACGCTGCAGCAGCTAACAACCAGTCACACGTTGTGCTGTTCCTCCTCAAGCTGATCAGCCCCAATGTAGTTAACAAGGACGGCCAGACACCAGCTCACCTGGCCGAGGGGCCACACTAAAGTGCTGAAGATTTTATTGTCTGATGAGGAAATGAACCACGACAAACGGGACATCTGCCACAGGACTTACAAAGACATGGTAGGTACAGTTTTATTGTTTTCTATGAACTATACAACACACACACACACACACACACATACATACATACATACATACATACATACATACATACATACATACATACATACATTAGGGACAGTACAATAATTTACAAGCCGGGCAAACAATAAAAAGGCATAGCCAAACTCATTTCTTCGTAAAATTGTTAGTTATAATTCAATTGTAAATTAATATTAGTTTATTTATAAACTAATTCACCAGGATTAAAGTGATTTACAAGATATAGTTAAATCGTCCCAACCTGTTGAACAAATCCGATGTCCACTTACGTTCATTAGTAATAGTAAAAATCTAGCGCCATTATTTATACAAGTGAATCATGAATTACATACATTTATATAGAAATTAATGAATTATCCCTGACAACAAACACAATCAACAAAGAAATATTACAGAAGTCCACTATGGGTGTATACTATAGAGCTCCCGTTTAGTTGGTAAGCTGCCAGTGGTAATATTTGTCAGTGCTATGTATCACCTTACTAGCCATTTGGGATGTTGGTCTGTAATCTGTGAGGATCTTTCTAGTCCTGTGTTAGTTCAGGAGGAAACTGTAGTACCCGTTGAAAAGCTTGTCACATCTGTACCGGGGCATACTATAATAGTGAGAAGCACAAATAATACCGCTGCACAACAAACATTCCCTTGTTACTGTCAGTACTGAGTGGCAGTTTGAGTACTATGGAGACCCTGCTGAAGCTGGGTGCTGATCCTGACTACCATGCAGGCCAGTTGGTGCGCGGAGCATTGTCCCGGGAGCTCAACGTAACAACACCCCGACAGCTTGCTCGCATGTTAAACCGGGAATATATGCTCCACTGGTTTATTAATGTAAGCATTTATTGGGACATTTTTCTTGGGCTTTGTAACATCTTTCAGCACTGATTCAGAATAATATCAAAATTGAATACTTAACCTCAATCAATCAATCGGACAATCATGAAACAGGAGGTACTACCGCCTGGGAAGATATTGGAAGTATAATGTATTGTCTAATGGTAGACCCTGCTGCCATATGGCATCGCAAAAATTGTGACCAAGTCCCAGGTTGCTGATCTGACTTTCTGCCATATTTACACACAATTGCAGGGTCTCAATTGTTTCTCTTACTTTGACAACACAACATACATATATTGTTTCTCACTCTTGATCTTTTTTTTTAATTTTGTATTTCTGTATGGTTCTTTATTATTATTATTATTATTATTATTATTATTATTATTATTATTATTATTATTATTATTATTATTATTATTATTATTATTAATATTATTATTATTATTATTATATTTTCGCCCCAGTCCTCCATGGTTTTGTATCTCTCTGGGGACCCACATTTTAATTTCATTCATCCATCCCAGTCTCTGCCTGCACCTGGCTCTCTTACCCTCAGCTTTGCCCATTAATATTTATGTTATTATTCCCTCATCTCTAATTATATGACCAAAGTATAGTACTGTATCTCATTTTTCTTTTTCTGTATATTTCATGTATTTCTCTTTAAGTTTTTGCTAATCTTGGTACTGATTCATTTGTTTTCCTGTCAGTGTAGACTATTCTTAGCATTCGCCTATAACACCACATTTCAAAGGCCTACACAACCTCTTTCTGGTGTCTGCTGAAAGTGTCCACGCTTCTGACCCATACACCAGTCCTTTCAACACCATTTTTCTCAAATCGAAGTTGGTGTTTCTTTTCATTGATTCTTTTAGATTAATTATTAAATGCTGTTTTTGCTCGCCCTATTATTTCTTTGATTTCTTCCGTACGTTTACCATCACAGTTATACTTCTCAAATACCCCAAATTTCCACTTGTTTAAGCTCCCTGTTGCCTACCATAAATTTTATTTGAGGATTTATTTCCAATTTAGAAACAACAGTTACTTTAGTCTTCACAGCATTCTCTAAAACCATATTTTTCACCCTTTTCCACCAATCTGTTGAAGAGTTTTTGCAATGCCTCTTCATTATATGTGATAAGAACAATAGCCTTTGCATATATATACTGTAGCTATATGATATTCGTTCGGTAATTCATTATAAGTGGGACAATATAGTATTATAGGAGCAGATTGAGTTGTTTACTATATTATGTATCTCCAGGAGACCACAACTGTGACACAGGAGAATGAAGCAGCCATGAGTGAGCCGCCCATGTTCATTAACAACCTCTCGGCCACTCTTCGTGTATGTGATGATCGTGATATTCATGAGAGCCAAAGTTGTTGTCATTGGTTGTGGCAATTACTTCCCTGGCAATCAATAGTGAAAAATTTGGCTGTCATGCCTAAGAGTGCATCTTTTGCCAGTAATACAATTGACTCCCAGTATTCAGTATGTTTGTAATAAACTTTCATCTGACTAAATTAATCAAAAATATACTTTAGCGAATTTTTACTGCACGTTTCATTATTCGTATGTTTTGTGTGTCAATATTTGTCAATTATATCTAATGAGACTTTTTTGCGACCACGACAACAGCTAAGGGTGAAGCCTTCATCAGTTCAAGCAACAGGACCAGACGTGTACAAGATGAACACAGACCCGAGAGGATACGTGTGTATTCTGAGCTACTGCTCCTTCAAGGACCGACCTGACTTAGACCTCGAGGGCTCACGCTCTGATGTCAACAACCTGGCAAGCGTCTTCGGGAAAATGGGATACACTGGCCACGCCCACTTCTCCTTGACGGCAGCTCAGACCAAACAAGTGTTGACCAAAGTAAGGGACATGGAGGTACTGGATCACGTTGGGTGTGCTGTTTTCATTATTTCTAGTCACGGCATTGGAAACGAAAAGTTCCTTACTAATGACATGAAGCGTTTAGCCACCGAGTGGGTTTGTGATCTGTTTAAGGATTCAGAATGTCCCCGATTAAAAAACAAACCCAAGCTGTTTATCTTCGACTTCTGTCGTAGTCATTACAAGGAACAACTGTACAGACAAGCCAGCGCAGTCAAGTGTACAAGAGTGAAAGAGCCGCTGCAGGATATAATGTGCATCTACTCCAACAGTGGAGGCTTCATGTCTCATACATTCAACAAGAATGGGACACCGTTCACTCGGGCCTTGTGTCGCACCCTGGTGCAGCACGCCCATAATAAGGAGCTTGGTGAATTATACAGGGAATTCCTTGTAGAGTACACCAAAATGGTTCCTGCTACTGAACCACAGCTCCGTAACCTTGGCTTTACTAAGAAGTTCTACTTTAATCCTGTCACAACGTTTTAGTTGAAATTGCAATATATTTGAAGCTCTGAAGAATTTGATTGTTTAACCATGTTTGTTGTAGATTGATCAGAAATATGTTGGATACTGATTAAGATTATTTTTAAGTCGTGGACAAATTCTTCTTTCAGTGAAATACTTTATCATCTTTTCGCCACTATTGGCATCTGTTTACCTGGTGTTACCTATGGAGGCAGCTCAAACCCGTTGCCATGGTGGGCTGTTACGAATAAGTCTGTTTACTGAATAGTAAATCAACTTTAATCTTAGTAGATAATATTATGTTGTATGCTTAACAAGTTTTAATATATTAAGTCATGCATTTGTGAAGAATAATGCTCGATATAGATTTATTATGTTACACACAGACCCTTATTTCGGTTACGTCACTTGGGAGTAAAATAACCGCACATGTAGTCTGTACAGGTGGCAACACACTGCCAACCTGTTTATAGTGTAATTGGTGTTTTCATTCGTTTTATTATTTATAATGTTTACAAGTTGTAAAGCCATAGACTTCACGAAGTAATACAGGAAGGGGAGTGGACTGGGGTGAAGTAATGGATATGGACAAATCAAGTATTGTAGTTGTCGAGGATTGATAAAATGTGCTGGAAACATTTGTTGTTTGGTAACTGAGTGTTTGAACATTTACTTCACTGTTAATATTAAAGATCTCTCTGTATGTGTTTGTTTTGATATTCTTTCCTCTTGGCCTGTGTTAATGTTTCGTCTACTGTCACCTACACAATCAGTTAGTCTGCTTATTTTTATGAAGAAAACTAAATATATTGGCTTTCATACCATAACCATCCCTTCCCTTACCAAATTCTCGTGGAAGTTTAAGACTCTCCTTCAAATAATCAAAGATCTACCCATGACAACAGTCCTCACCGCACTTGATATAATCCTTTATTTTGTCATTATCTGTATCAACATGTATACAGCCACGTTTTCCTGTGCCATTCTACCGGTTCCAATCGATATAGACCGAAGCAACAAGGTTCTCATTATCGGTCTACCTGGGACCAGCTTGAAGGTTCGTGTGTCTAGGACCTGCGCTGCTGTTGTTGTTGATGCTTCTCCCAACCAATAGGAAGAGAGTAAAGAATGAAAGCGGTATAAATTCATTCTCTTCTGGACTGTAGAGCTGAACCAGTGTAGAAATTTTCTGAACCGATGTAAAATAGAGCGAAAAAAGAAAACAAGAAAAAAGTTCTTTATATAAACATTGTTAAAACTTGATTGGAGACTTCACCCCAACAAAATTTCTTGTATCCGTTTACATAAATTCATATTTTATATGGTCACCAATATGATTAATCACATAAATTGATAACACCTTGCAGCCTCCTACTGTACCTCTGTCATGGTTTTGGGTAAAATAGACCAGCCCGGATTGCTTTTGTCACAACCAGGCATTCCACGGGGATAACAAACCTAGGTTAACACACTTAGTCTCGTGTCGATCACGGTCACTGTAGACGGGTGTCGTGCAGGAGAACTCTAAGCGTGAATTAATTAACCATTTACTGTAGGTTTGATAGGCCAGCCTGGATTGCTCTTGTTGCAACCAGGCATCCACACGTGATATTTCCACGGGGATAACAACCTAGGTTAACACGCTTAGTCTCGTGTCGACAGCGGTCCACAGGACGGAGTGGCGGTGGAGGACTCTGTGTGGTGTGGTGTCCCGCTCCCTTTCAGGAGGGAGAGAGTCAAGACGACTTCTTAACTAAGCCATGGTCGTCGGGATACTACTTAAAATGAATTTTTTGGGTGTGAAGCGATGAACAGTACAACACTGTTCCACTGCCCACCCCCCTAAAGGCTGGCTAACATACACTAATGGAAAATACATGTCCCAGTTATGCCTCGCCGGGTGTCTTATCTCTAGTAAAACAAACTTTGGAGTTGGTTGCGTGGGTAAGCCTAACGCAACCCATGACAACCTCCTCCAGTAGCACCTCCAGTAGCAACACATTATAATGTAGCTTTATTAGAAGTTTTGATACTGTGTCAGATAAGTAGCGGTGGGGAGAGGCGATGGTTAATAGTTCTGTAAAGTTTTGGGTTAAATGTAAAATTGGTTGTATTGTGGAGTTTGAAAGCATTCATTTTATGACCCTGGGATCAAGTCTTTGTGTTATAAATATATATTGGTCTTATTACCTGCCACATACTACTACATCCTTGCTAAACACCAACAGAGTTTACCAATACCACTACATACTGTCAATAACTTAGCGAAGTTTACGTTGAGACAACAGACGACAAAACTCAATGATATTTAACCTAACTGAAAGTGAAAGTAGATGCCAAAGGGAAAAAAAATCAACAACAACCAAAATCATTAGGTAAGATCATATTTGGTTGCTTTGTCATCTACAGTTGGAAATTACTGAGGCCAGTTTTTTACCCAATCGTGGAGTTAACCTGACGACCTGTAAGGGGTAGAGTGGATGCAGCGCGCTAATACCAAGCCCTCGGTACTGTGGTCAGCGCTGCATATGACACCTTTTACTTCCCCAATTGCAAAGTCAAATGTAAATCCACATCTGCGTTGACTAAGGGTGAACCAGCGACCCTGAGGATAGGATGAAGGCACAGGATCCACTCTTCTGACGCCCAACAAAGACCAAACACTCAACACTCCTTCCATTCTTTGTGACAAAACAAACATGCTTGGATTCACTCATGGCGTAAGTTTATCAGGCGTGCACACACACCATACATACATACCAATTTCAGTGAATGAAGATATGGCTTATATTGAAATAGGAATGTGTTAGAAGATCCCCTTTAGTGACCTCTACTGCCTTAAGAGCCACATTCAGCCTTATGGACATTAAACTTAACAGAGTTGAGACTACTGATGGCCGGGCTCCCCATGAAGTAGTGGCTGGGCTGAGTTTGGAAAATCTCCACATTTGGAACTCGTTTTATGCGAGGAATTTATAAAAAATTCGGCAATATGTTCTTATATTTCTGGTTTATTAACATAACCGTTGAAAATATATTGTGTTAGTACAATATACTGCACAGTATTTCGCAATACAAAACCACGTATCCAGTAATCGTTTATTATTCACCTTTCAAATACTGTACAATTATATGAAATAATTTTGTCATGATTTTCACTAATACATTTTTCTCATAATATAATGTTCATCTATATTACCTTCTAATAATATGCCAGATTGTTCACATCATTTGCCAAAACTTCTACAGTGCGTTAATTACTGTGCCTCCCGGAGACCAGTACTGTACATCCAAATATTTCCATATTTTACTTTATAAGAGATTATCACAAAATAAGAGGAACTGACTCAAGTCCTTGACTGTAAACGTTATGTTAACAATCATTAAACTTGATTCTCTTAACATTTAGGGTTGAAATAAAACTTCTTTGTAAAGCCAAAGTTACAGAGCTGTGGTGCACTAGTTGGGGACAGTTTGTTGTACTCCTTGAGGAATTCTCTGTACCAGTCACACAGCTCCTTGTCGTGGGCCTGCTGCACCAGGGTGCGACACAGGGCTGTGATAAAGGGAGTCCCCTCTTTGGTATAGGTGTATGATGTGAAGTCTCCACTGCTTGAGTACAGACACATCATATCTTGGAGAGGCTCTCGCACCCTTGTACTCCTGGCTGTGCTCACTTGTCGAGGACTTTCATTCTGGTAGTAACCACAACAGAAGTCGAAGATAAACAGCTTGGGTTTGTTTTTTAATCGGGGACATTCCGAATCCTTAAACAGATCACAAACCCACTCGGTGGCTAAACGCTTCATGTCATTAGTAAGGAACTTTTCGTTTCCAATGCCGTGACTAGAAATAATGAAAACAGCACATCCAACGTGGTCCAGTACCTCCATGTCCCTTACTTTGGTCAACACTTGTTTGGTCTGAGCTGCCGTCAAGGAGAAGTGGGCGTGGCCAGTGTATCCCATTTTCCCGAAGACGCTTGCCAGGTTGTTGACATCAGAGCGTGAGCCCTCGAGGTCTAAGTCAGGTCGGTCCTTGAAGGAGCAGTAGCTCAGAATACACACGTATCCTCTCGGGTCTGTGTTCATCTTGTACACGTCTGGTCCTGTTGCTTGAACTGATGAAGGCTTCACCCTCGATTTCAATGACTGAAAATTAAATTTGCTTGTAAATTCTTATATTACTGTAGTGTGATATGATATATTGCTGATTAACACACACACACACAAAGTGTATCCAGTATCCAGTACTTACAAAGACCCTACAATATTCTATACTTGCTCCATTACACGCCCTAAAAATGAAATTGTGATATTACATTAGATTTAGAAGAACTATTGCTTGGGGGTAGTGTTGCTTACCTCGTGGTCACTTGTGATGTGGTACACGTCATCTGAACTGTGCAACACGCTAAGATCTGTAGTAGTAGTAGTAGTTCTTTTCTCTACACGTCTCTCCTGCAACACCAAGGGAAAGGTATCATGTGTTAGAACAGTATTATGTGTTTTCCACAACTCCGGAAAACACCTTGGCATCTGTCAGTTCATGTTTGACTGATGAAAGCAATAACGTCTCCTGGTAATGTGGCTCTCTTCACATAGAGATAATACTACATCTGCTTCTGCTTTAATACATATCATTAAAAAGTTTACTAAATAACAAAGGTCAACGGAAAAGGATGTTATGGATAAAAACAAACCCGGAAGTACCGAGAGCTTTACTGAATCGTAACTGAACCCATTAGGATTAGTTATTTTCAAATAGTATGTGACCGTATGTGTTGTGGACGAGGATAATTTTTGTGATGATTTGTTCTGTCATTTGGTCCTCCCGGCATAACACTCAACAACAATATCTGTTTTCTGAGCGTTTAAGTTTTTTCTTTTTGCAAGATATATGCAGACAGGAGTTCCTAAAATCGCCAGTCTCTCATGATTTCCTTCAATATACTGTACTGTACCTTTATTTACTCACCATACCTGGGGCAAGAGTTAAGGCTTTTGACGGTAACTTAACTCAACCAAGATAATACTGACATAACTAACAATACATCGAAGTGTGTGGACAGTGTTTAAATAAGCCTGTCAGAAATCCACACCTCATTGTGTCTTACCTTGGGGAATAAACTGAGGATGGCCTCCCGGTGCAGGACGAGGGCCAGCTGGCGGGGTGTGGTGACCTTATGCTCCAACACTGTGTCCACGAGTGACTCCACGCTGTAGTCTGGGTCAGCACCAAGCTTCAGCAGTTCTTGTACTTTGGTTTGAATGTCACGAAGCACTAACTCATACAGTGGTACAGAGAGCTGAAATAGTGTACAATTCTTTCAGTGATGAGACAATATGTAATTATTTTATTTAAAATTCTAAGCTTCATTATTTTTCCTGCTGTTATTAGCTTATTACTCGTAGTTCATTATCACCGAAAGCTTAACATTACATACATAAAATAATCATCCAGAGTTTGTATGTACAGAGTATAAACAGTCTTGTATCTCATACTAACCAAATCCTTGTAAGTCCTGTGGCAGTTGTCCCGTTTGTCGTGGTTCATTTCCTCGTCTGACAATAAAATCCTCAACAACTGAGTGTGGCCTCTCACGGCAGCCAGATGAGCTGGTGTTTGGCCGTCCTTGTTGACTATATTGGGGCTGATCAGCTTGAGGAGGAACAACACTATATCCAGTTGACAATAAGAGGCGGCAGTGTGGAGGAGCGTACAGTTGGTGTTCTGTCTTCTAATGGCCGGCCCTGTGTCCTGGAGAAGTTCCTGCACGCGCTCCAAGTCCCCGGATTCTACTGCCGTGAACACTTCTTCCTGAGGACATGAACACACAAGAAAATAAATTATTTCATAATGGAAGGATATACAGTCATTTACATGCCATGATTCAAGGAAGCAGAAATCACAGTCGTATTATTTTTATAATTTAATATTTTTCTTATGCAAATACTTCAGTAATACGTAAATAATTTGTTGATAATATTCGTACCCTTGCATCATAAACGTGGAGAAGAGCGTGGTTTGGTGATCTTAGGGAGAGTCTTTGTGTTGCAGCTCGAGTGATCACTGTCTTGCGATTAACATTGTTGTATGTAATTGTTGGTATTCGTCCAAACATGACTTCATGAATTTGTTTAAGTAAATTATTTATATCAAGTGGTGAGGTGTGAGCTTTGCATTTCTTTCTGTCTTGGCACACGAGAGAGGCGTCTTCTGGAGACATGGTTCTCTTAATACACAATTTGGACAATGTAAAGACATCTTCATTACCTGCCTGTGTGGTAAACGACTCGCTATCTGATGAAGTAAGGCACAATTTCTTTGCTGAAAATGATCTTGATTCATCAGGCACACACAGGTGTCTTTTTCTTGTGACTTGAGAAGTGACATTACTAACTGTGTAACCTACAAATCTTTCACTGTTATACTCCAAAGAAACTACTTCAACAGAGGAGGAGTTCACGCGTATTATGTCAGACGGTGCGGGAGGTGTTGCTCCTGTCTGTGGCGGACTTCTGGGTGCTTCCTTTGTCACTGAAACCGCAGTATCTGGTGATGGGCTCCTAGACCTTCTCAGTGCTGGTGATGGGCTCCTAGACCTTCTCAGTGCTGGTGATGGGCTCCTAGACCTTCTCAGTGCTGGTGATGGGCTCCTAGACCTTCTCAGTGCTGGTGATGAGCTCCTAGACCTTCTCAGTGCTGGTGATGGGCTCCTAGACCTTCTCAGTGCTGGTGATGGGCTCCTAGACCTTCTCAGTGCTGGTGATGGGCTCCTAGACAGCCTTCTCAGTGCTGGTGATGGGCTCCTAGATTGCTCTCAGTGCTGGTGATGAGCTCCTGGAGCCTTCTCAGTGCTGGTGATGGGCCTCCTAGACCTTCTCAGTGCTGGTGATGGGCTCCTAGACCTTCTCAGTGTTGAGTGAACATCAACTGGTGATGGGCTCCTAGACCTTCTTAGTGTTGGTGAAGACACATCAACTGGTGATGGGCTCCTAGACCTTCTTAGTGATGGGTGAAGACATCAACTGGTGATGGGCTCCTAGACCTTCTTAGTGTTGGTGAAGAAGCATCAACTGGTGATGGGCTCCTAGACCTTCTTAGTGATGGTGAAGACATATCAACTGGTGATGGGCTCCTAGACCTTCTTAGTGCTGGTGAAGACACATCAACTGGTGATGGGCTCCTAGACCTTCTTAGTGCTGGTGAAGACACATCAACTGGTGATGGGCTCCTAGACCTTCTTAGTGTTGGTGAAGACACATCAACTGGTGATGGGCTCCTAGACCTTCTTAGTGATGGTGAAGACACATCAACTGGTGATGGGCTCCTAGACCTTCTTAGTGATGGTGAAGACACATCAACTGGTGATGGGCTCCTAGACCTCTTGAGCGTGTTGGTGAGGCACATCAGCTGGTGATGAAATCTGGAGCCTTCTTAGTGATGGGTGAACATCAAAATGGTGATGGGCTCCTAGACCTTCTTAGTGTTGGTGAAGACACATCAACTGGTGATGGGCTCCTAGACCTTCTTAGTGTTGGTGAAGACACATCAACTGGTGATGGGCTCCTAGACCTTCTTAGTGTTGGTGAAGACACATCAACTAGTGATGGGCTCCTAGACCTTCTCAGTGTTGGTGAAGAAACATCAACTGGTGATGGGCTCCTAGACCTTCTCAGTGTTGAAGACACATCAACTGGTGATGGGCTCCTAGACCTTCTTAGTGCTGGTGAAGACACATCAACTGGTGATGGGCTCCTAGACCTCAGTGATGGTGAAGACATCTCACCTGAGGTTTGGTTAGAGACGTTAGCTAGAGGGAGGTTCCTGCCAGTACTGTCTGTTAACTGGAGGAACTCATCTGAAGGCTTATCATCTGGTCTTTCACTTTGTTGTGTTTGCATAAAGTTGTTCAAGGAAGAGAGACTCACTGGAACCTTTTCATTTGGTACTCGGAGATCGTCTAATGAAAGAGCAGGACCAGTATTTGATGTCTCAATTAAGTTTTGCCCAGAGAAAAAATTCTTTGCATTTCTTTTTGTTTGTAAGTAACAAGACCGATTAAACGATGACGAGCGCCTCGATCTGCTACGTTTTTGTCTCCGGAAAGGGTTAATTTTGTCTGGCTTTCTGGGACCAATTCCTTTATAAGCGGCGACAGTTAACTTTGACGGGCTCCAAGACCACCTCTCTTTTTTTTGATGAGTGTATCTGAACCTGATACACGGACTCCAGGACCATTCAATTGGCTGTGTGTGACCTGGTATAGCTGCTGGAGGGAAACCCCAGGACCAGCCATAGGTTTGACTTCCTTGACTGGGACCCCAAGACCAACTCTCTGACTTCGTAGTGTTTTCATTTGACTGAATATTGAAGGCTCCGTCAGCTTGGGGATCGTCCACAGTCATCTGAGAGAGAGGGCATTGTAAATTACGCCACGACGGCGGGGAACAGACAGAACAATCAACACAAGGGCTTAACAATAATTGGGTATATCATTAACTGGATGAGCTGATGTTTTCCTCATAGGGTATCTGAGGCTCGAATAACATTGTGTACCGAACTCATTCTTTCATTCCACATTTACGTTACACAAACTCCTAAAAAGTGGTGGGTTAAGGACTTAAAGGTGTTGATGGGTTAGGTGTTTTAATGCTAGGTGGAAAGTCCTGGGTGGTGCAGTGCCAGGAGTAAAATTCAAGGTGGTAAGTGGGGATGCCCTAGGTGATAGAGGGCAAGGTGACATAATGGTGGGTAGATGGATACTAGTTGGAGGATTTCAGGTGCAAGAATAGTAGGTAGGGGAATGCTAAGTGCTAGGTAGAGGAAGAGTTGGGTAGGGGAGTGCTGAGAGAGGGAGAATCGTGTGCTGAGAGAGAGAATCGTGTAGGGGAGTGCTGAGAGAGTGAGAATTAAGTATAGGAGTGCAAGGAGAGGGAGTGCTGTGTAGAGGTGTGATAGATAAAGAGGTGTTGTGGTGTAGAGGTGCAACAAGGGAGGGAGGCTATTTCCCTGACGTTACTATGTACAGTACACTTGGTAACCTCTGACGACTAAGACGCCATACATTTTATAAAAAATAATTAAAATAAAAATAAATCCCAGTCATCTTTTTAGTTGTTAATTAAAATAAATTCATAAATGATTTTTCCCGTTCCTGAGTATATGCATGGGAGGTAGCAGTAGCCCCAGTTGACTAATGACCGCTCACCCTTCACCTGAATTACCTCAGATCTGCCCCTCGCCCTCTTACGACAGTGAAGTAGGCCACATGGCAAAGACAGTGAGGCAATTTTCTGGGTTATCTAAAGACATATCTGACAACAGCCTTCAGGAAGTCATGTCACGCACGTAAACGGAAATACAATGTGAGGAAATTAGCAGCAGCAGCCACCGTTAAGGCTTAAAAACTTCCTGGAATCTTCAAATTATAATGAATCTACAGAATTGATGTTCCGAGTAAGAGAATCATCCTCATATGGGAGTAAGAAGGTAGTGGTAGTGTTGGTAGTAAGGAGGTAGTGGTGGTAGTAGTAGGGAGGTAGCGGTAGTGTTGGTAGTAAGAAAGTAGGAGTGTTGGATACAGTCAGTAGGTCGGCACGTAACTCACCTCCCCTGCTGTGTGGTGACTGGCCGACGCCGCCATCTTTCCTCGTCAGGTTTTCGCCTCTGAAACAAATGATAACATTTATAATTTTCGTTAAATGTGACTTGTATTTCACCTTACAGAATCTAATCTTATTTTGGAATCACATACGTATTCTCATTTTGTTTTCATGGATTTTCAAACTTTTGTCGTTTATTTATCAAAGATGAAAGTGTATAGCTTCCGTAGTGGCCTTCCTGGTAGGCTCCGTGTTCCCCGTCCTTCCTACGCTTCCTCCAGATTACCTTGACACAACCACTCCTTTCTTCCTGATACAATACCTACAACTGCAGTGAGGTTAGTGATGATAATGAACGGTGTGTTTGTGATAGTTGTTAAATTGTTATATGATTTAATAGACTGCTGAAAAGTGTATTTTTTTCACAGATGGTCAGTAGATCTAACATTACATTATATGATTTTTCTGGCTGGCTCTCCGGCTGTTCATTACGTAATTATTGCGCCTAAGGCTCTTTAGTTGGTCAAACTTTGTGTTAGAAGGACATCGAGGCAGGTATGGCTGCACATATCGAGGTTTGGCATGATGTGGTACACTAATTTAATTAGTTTGTGAATAGGCCAGAGGACCCTCAACAGGACACACATAATTACTGCTGTACGTAACTAGAGTAGAAACCTCATAAGTTATAACTCTCTGACATAAGGCTGAGCTGCCATGAACATATCTAGATAGTGAACATCCTGCATCAGATTCCTGACAGCAGGAGGCTGGATGTGAACAACTTAGGCGGTGACCACACACACACACCACACCTTAATACATGTATGGTAATAACTGTGCATTAGTCATGGTTTTGAATTAGTTTTTTATTTTGAGCGTTAACCATGACACAGCCGTGCACTAACCATTATAGTGACGTGCATTAATGTTTGTCAACAGAGAGCAAAACCATACACGGTTAGGTTTGGGCGCGCGTGATGTCATTGTGTGGGAGGGAACCCGCGCCCTGGCTGGCTGACCTGGTTGGTGTATTTAGTCTAACTTCGCACACACAGAACCGTGCACACAACACTTTACACCTACAACACCGCGCCTCACGCAACATCACGCGCACACACAACACCACGCGCGCACATAACACAACGCACAAGTAACAGGCAAATGCAACATAATAAACCCCGTACGGTACAGTATGTGAGTCAAGGTGAACAAACTGGCAAGAGCTAAACCGTCGCTTTCACACACCACCCACACACATACGAGACTAAAACCTCAAAAACAGTCTGATGTTGAGATGTGTTGTGTAACATCCATGTGCTATCACACACTGTCCTAAACATTCATAAAAACATAAATTTCACTAAGAATTTTCGTTATTGATACGAATCAAACCAGTTTTACTTAGCAATGCACGATAGTAGAAAACCTTGGTTGTTAACGGGAGCAGCGGTATATTTGTTTACCTTAGAGTTACGCTTCACAACGGTGGAGTCACTTCTGCTGCAGTAGTATGAGCACAGTATTAAGATAGATCCTCAGAGTGTGGAGCGCGAGCTGCGGTGTTGCTCACGTCGTCGCTGGCGAGTGAGTGAAGCTGCAGCCCAGCGCCGCAGTATTAAGTGTGTAAGCCAGCTGGGGCTCCCTCCCTCCCACACCTCGCACAGGCTGCAACAAGTGAAGTGACGTAGTTGTTCACGCGTTGGGACCTGTGAGGAACTGTTGGGAGCTTCATACAGACACACCCACCCACTACAGTATCTCACCAACATAAACACACCACAGTCATTATAATGCAGCTATGTCAACCTTACACTCACTCTTCATCATACCTAACTCAACCATACACTCAAGTACTCATATACCCAATCAAACCACCGGTGGAGGTTGTGATTGTATTGTTGATTGTAGCTATGGGATTGTAGTAGTCATGTGGTTGGCATGTGCTATGCTGTTGATTCTTGATAGTTGTAGCGATAGTAACTGGTTGTAGCGATAGTAACTGGTTGTATTGTTGATGATTGCAGCATAATGCGGCTGTGCTGCTGGTGGTTGTATCAGTGGTGTAACAATGGAATTTTTTTGTAATGGATTTTTCAACATTTGTGATAGAAGCTGTTTAAACCACACCCACCTGTACCACGTCACCGCCTTATATTGGCACTGGTCGCCCTCTACAACACCCTGTTCCCGCCAAATTACCGACACTGATCTGAATGTTACGTTACGCGACTTGAGGACAGAAAGTTAGTTTGGTTGCGTTCATGGTTTGTAGAAGATGTAAAGGCCTGGGACTTTGGGGATAGAAATCCCTTACCAGGCTAATCAGGTTCTTAATAAAGGAAAGTCAAGGACCATGGTTTTCTGAGGAATAGCAAACAACCGTTTGAGATTGACATCTCTTTACTATAAAAAATATAACACAAAACTCTGACACCACTCAACAAACCTCAAATAATTACGGGAGTCAAACAATTAATGGAGTCAATACTTAATGGAGTTAATCAATTAATGGAAGCAAACAATTAAAGGGAGCAAACAATTAATGGGAGTCAGCAGTTAACAGAATCAAACAATTAATGGGAGTCAACAACTGAAAGAATCAAACAATGAACAGATATTTCCTACGGCAGTGGCCCTGGGGTAAGGTTCTGGAACACGGTGATCCACACTCAGGGTAGGGAAGCATCCATTCAACTCCACACTCCAGCGACGTCTTGAAATGGCAGAACACCGGGGCACAGACGGAATGAGCAGAACTGACGGTCGTGGTATCGTAGTGGTAGATGACCAGAGAATTGACAGTCGTTAGGTGAAGGTCTGGGGACACAGCCCACGAGTCCAGGACCCATGATGAGATCACACCAGAATTTGACGAACAGCGGGGTAGCTAGATAGTGACTGTATGGCGGCTGGGTTGAATCTGCCGGTGTCCCAGATAGTCGCTGCCGTTCTCACATCTGTCCAACCGCCCCAAGTGTCGTCCGCACCAGCACCAGCAAACGAGCGAATTAGCAGCCGTAACCAGCAGGAAGATCGTTTCCGCCCTTACAGAAGATGTGGGGGCTCTTGGTGTGTTCGTGGATTCTGTTGGTTCTAAATATTCTTAAGTGTTTTTGGGTATTTCTGAACCTGTACGTTTTATCGTGAGTACTTATTAAACCAATAAATTCAAGGTGATTGTTAGTGTAACCGCCAATCAGGCGGTTAAAGGAATATTCAGACTCGTGACGTTGAACTCGAACATTATAATTCGATCAAACCTGTTGAATACAATTCATTTTAGTATTTCAAATAATTCATACATAGGCAATCATACATAAACGTTTAATCCAATATATATTTATATAACAATCATAGCTATGTAATTAGTCTAACCTTAACTCATATGAGTACTTAATTTGTCATATTTTTATGTCGTCACAATGATAAACGATGCATTGGACACAGTCTACCTGTGTACACAACAAGTACACGTTAAACTTACGTGTTGAAAGTCTTCAGGAGAAACAGGTTAGGTGTTGGCACTATGATGGGGATAGCTACAGTGAGGAAGCGGTGCCCTGCCGGGCACTCGCATGTCAGGCAGGCTATTCAAAATCTCTGTGTCAGGTATGTTATACGCAAACAAGATCCCATTACACCACCCAACACCTCTACCTACTGTGTCCTCATCTGCCTCCATCTCAACACTATATATATATATATATATATATATATATATATATATATATATATATATATATATATATATATATATATATATATATATATATATATATATATATATGCTGATAACCACAAGGAAAGAAGAAAACACGAAGTTCCCAAGCTCTTTCGTGTAATTCACATCTTCAGGGGTGAGTACAGACTAAAGAGAAGTACAAAACAAGGTGTATATATACTGAGGAGGGTGAGGCCAGGTCCACAATGGTCAGGTATTAGGTAATGACCCTACTAATCTTTAAATAGCACCGCAACGGTCGGTAGTCAGGTTAGAGGGTAAGGTGACCCAACCTTCTCACCTGGTTATAAATCTTCTTAATTACAAAATTGTCCAGTTTGTACATGCCCTTACTCAAATTCATGTTGAGTGCTTAGGTATGTTTAATGAGACTAGATTCTATGATGTTTCTACTATCAATTGAATTACAAGGTAATATTGAGGAGGCATTATCCCAGTCAATGCAATGCTTATTATCCCTCAAATGAACAAACAGAGAGCATAAGAACATAAGAATGGAGGAAACTGCAGCGGGCCTATTGGCCCATACTGGGCAGTCCCGTTTACACCCAACCCCTATTGCTCATATAAGCATCCAACCTATGTTTGAAGCTATTCAGCGTATTCCAGTTAATGATGATATTTGGTAACTTGTTCCATTCATCCACTACTCTGTTTCCAAACCAGTTACGAGTTCGCTCCTGGTTGGATAGTTTGAGTACCTTTGTAATGCCCCCTTTGTTTAGCCCTGACTTCCGCTCTATCAGGTCGTCCCTCGCTCTATGTCTCTCGAGGGAGTGCAAATTAAGATACTTTAACCTGTCTCTATACTCAAGGTTCCTAATGCCCGGGATTAGTCTTGTCATTCTCCTCTGAATTCTTTCCAATGATTCTATATCCATCCTGTAATACGGTGACCAGAACTGAACTGCGTAATCCAGGTGTGGTCTCACAAGCGCAAGATACAGTTTTAGGATGACCTCGCTAGTCTTGTAACTAACACTCCTTTGTATGAACCCAAGTACTTTATTAGCCTTGTTACGAGCAAAAACACATTGTTTACTTGGCTTAAGGTTCCTACTTATCATTACTCCTAAATCTCTCTCGCAGTCGGATTTCTCTATGGCATCGTTGTTCATCTGGTGTCTGGTTTCCCTGTTTACATCTCCTATACTGAGTACTTTACATTTGTCCACGTTGAATTTCATCTGCCATTTTTCAGACCATTCCAAAAATTTTTTTAGATCTTCCTGTAGAGCATTGGATTCCTGGCCTGTCCTAACACTATATTTATGTTGTTTAAGTCTAGTTACAAGATCTTTACCTGTCTGGCCTAAGTAAAACATATTACATTCCTTGCAAGAAACTTGATAAATGAAACCAATTGTGTTGTTGGGGGAGTTCTTGATTAACATTTGTTTAACAGTGCCACGTTTAATGGTTTAATGATTAATGATGGTTTAAGGGTTATTGTTCGTAGTGATGGCGACTGTAATGGTTGTGGTGGTTATTGTTTGTAGTGGTGGTGATTGTAATGGTTGTGGTGGTTATTGTTTGTAGTGGTGGTGATTGTAATGGTTGTGATGGTTATTGTTTGTAGTGGTGGTGATTGTAATGGTTGTGGTGGTTATTGTTTGCAGTGGTGGTGATTGTAATGGTTGTGGTGGTTATTGTTTGTAGTGGTGGTAATTGTAATGGTTGTGGTGGTTAGTGTTTGTAGTGGTGGTGATTGTAATAGTTTTGGTGGATATTGTTTGTAGTGGTGATGATTGTAATGGCTGTGGTGGTTATTGTTTGTAGTGGTGGTGATTGTAATGGTTGTGGTGGTTATTGTTAGTAGTGGTGGTGATTGTAATGGTTGTGGTGGTTGTTTATAGTGGTGGTGATTGTAATGGTTGTGGTGGTTATTGTTTATATTGGTGATTGTAATGGTTGTGGTGGTTATTGTTTGTAGGGTGATTGTGGGGTCAAGGTGGGTGGTTGTTTGTAGTGTAGTGGTGATCAACGGTGGTGGTTATTGGTTTGCAGGTGGTTATTGTTATAGTGGTGGTGATTGTAGTTTTATTGTGGTGGTTATTGTTTATATTGGTATCGGTAATGGTTGTGTGGTTGCTGTTCAGGTGGTGGTGGATTGTAATGGTTGTGGTGGTTATTGTTTGTAGGTGATTGTAATGGCTGTGTGGTTGTTTGTAGTGGTGGTGATTGTAATGGTGTGGTTATTGTTTGTAGGGTGGTGGTTATTGTTAGTAGTGGTGGTGATTGTAATGGTTGTGGTATTATTGTTTATATTGGTGATTGTATTGCTGTGGTGGTTGTTGTTTGTGGTGGTGGGTGATTGTAACGTTTGTGGTGATATTGTTCAGAAAAAGTGATGATTGTAATGGCTGGTGGTGGTTATTGTTTGTAGTGGTGGTGGTTGTTGTTTGTATGGTGGTGATTGTACTTTGCTGTGGTGGTTATTGGTTTGTAGGATGATTGCAATGGCTGTGGTATATTGTTTGGTAGTGGTGCAGGTTGTTGTTTGGTGGTGGTGATTGTAATGGTTGTGGGTGGTTGTTGTTTGTGGTGGTGGTGATTGTAATGGTTGTGGGTGGTTATTGTTTATATTGATGATCGTAATTGGTTGTGGTGGCTATTTTTTGCAGTGGTGGGTGATTGTAATGGCTGTGGTCGTTATCATTATAGTGGTTATTGGTAATGGTTGTGGTGGTTATTGTTTGTAGGTGGTGGGTGATTGGTAATGGTTGGTGGTGGTTATTGTTTATTTTGGTGATTGTAATTTATTGTGGTGGTTATTGTTTGTAGTGGTGGTGATTGGTAATGGTTGTGGTGGTTATTGTTATAGGGTGATTGT